CGGCGGGGGAATAATTTTACAGATCCCGGACTGCTCCGCGATGGGCCGAATCTTGTTGATGTAGCCGAGCGCGTCCTGAAACTCTTCCCAGGTCGGCTTAAATACGGGGGCCTCGGGCGGCGGCACGAACTGGAACTCCGGCGACGACGACATCTTTCCAGGTCTCGATCGGTCAGCACTTGCACTCCACACTAGCGACGCCCGAGGAGGTCATGACCAGCAGGAGGAAGGGAAGGGCGGCAGGGGGAGGCGAGCGACGGCCCGCTCAGCGTCCTTCGCGATGTCTGTTTACTACTGACGTCGGGCTGACTCCCTCGCGGAGGAACACGGCCGCCTCGCACCCGCACATGGAGAAAGCATATAAAAAGTAGTTCAGTAAAAAACGATGTTAAAGGTTGAATGTTTGCTGTATTTCTGATATTTAACGTTTTTATACAATACGTTATATTTAGTCAGTCATTAAGAGATGTAAAAATAAGTAGAACTTCTCCAACGTATGAACAATGATTAAATAGCGCATAACATGCCCGAGTCGCATTTGTATATGCAATTCCCATTGTGTGAAATTATCAAACCCTGACTATATATATATCTAATATATATATACATATACATATATGAAAGTAATTATGCATGCACGTATATCCGTATGTATATACGTACATATTATCAGTAATATTGTGATATTCGTGCAGGTACGTATGCCGAGACGAAGGAGGTGCCGAATTTTGCTTTGAAAAACATATAGCTGGTCCAAATCTTGAGCTTGTATTTCACAGCAATAATCGGTTAAATGCAACCTATATATTCTGCAATAGATATCTCTGCTGCGAAACATGTGTAAAGATGCCTCCCCGACACTGGAAACGCATGAACAGGTGCCGCGCTCGCCATTGGCCGACGGGCGGGGCGAAGGGCCAATCGCGGAGCGGAACGCGGTGTGGCCCCTTTAAAAATGGCCGCGACACAAAGGTAAACATAGGGCTCTGGCAGTGTGAATTGGTTGTTCCCGTGACAGCCGAAGCGATTGGTGTCGAGGGGTGGAGATCACACGCGTTAATTAGTGAAGTTGCGCATGAAGTATGTCCACAGGCGTGATAAATGGGCTCGATCTTAGATGAGGGCTGCTTATGTCGCCCAGGCTTTATCAGGTTCATTGTTGAAGGTAATGACAGTCTCTTGCTGCTGGAATAATATTTGCTTTGATGCCACAGATATATTCTTCTGGATGTTATAAGCACATGTTCATGTCACTGACTTGATATTTAAGAGTAAAAGTCACGATTTACATATGAAATCAGAACTTTTGTATTGGGATGATAAATGTCCAGTGCCACATTGGGTATTTTTAGTTCAACACGTAAGACTAAGTCAGTGATTTACAATAGACTTGCATGGAGGTTAAGAAGATAGATTGTAGTTGTTTACAAAGTGGCTTTCCCCCTACCCCCCACCCCCCAGGACTGGATCCCAATTTCTGTGGTCAACAACCTTAGAGGTGCTTCTGAGAATCAACAGACAACTGGAATAAACGATAAAACTTCCATCCCCTGAACTTTCACTTAATCAACGAGACACATTTTCATTTTCTACACCTATGCAGCTTATTTCAAATATAAATGAGTGTATTTGGTTAATCTTTACTAGGCTTGGGTAAACTGTAGATGATATTTGTGTACAGGAAAAGGAGTTGCAATTGTTGGTACAAGAAATGGTTAATTTTTCAACTATGACAGGCTAATGAAACAACAGACATGCTCAACTCCCCGTTTTTTTGAAAAAATAAGGGAATCAAACCATCGTTTAGTAAAATCTATTGGATTTAACACAATCCAAACCCCCATAGTAATCATAGAATATGTCCTAACCAACAAAACAACCTAAGCTTAGGCCCATGGGATTTATACACTGTGATCTCTATATTCCTTAGCCTTGGGGCTCTGCCCCTTGGACCTCTGTGTGTTTAATACAATAAGTTTTATATATTAGTCAAACCCATTGCCGACAGGCAGAGCCGTCTATATGTAAAGACATTTCACAGAAAAATATAAAAAATGAGCACATCATTTTCCCTATTTTTTATTAATTTTCCCCGACAGCAATGGGTTAATACAATACAATCTGTATATTCCCAAGCAAGGGGGATCTGCCCCCTGGACCCCTGTGGGTTTAACACAATATGATCTATATATTCCCTACCCAGGACCCCCGGGGTAATACCACATACCTTCATATAGCAAAAGACCGAACTTTTCTTCACTTGTGTATAATTTTTTTTCTTTTTTTTTTTTTTTTTTTTTTTTTTTTTTTTTTTTTTTTTTTTTTATTCATTCATTCATTCATTCATTCATTCATTTGGGGCAATTGATGGGCTCATGTAACAAGTTGTAATAGTTATTAATGTCTATATTGTTTTAAAAATGGCATAATACTAAAAACAAAACCTTTCTCGCCAACATTTGTCACATGATGGCATCACGTGGCCTGTCAAATCAGAGGG